ACCTAATGGCTATTCTTCGGCTTTTACAGCTGGCCTCAAGTGGACACTTGAGGAACTGCAGTTTCCACTTCTTCATAGGCTTTGTTTTATAACAGCAGAGGTTGCTGCTTGAGTCTGACCCTGTCTTTTCAGGGATAAGGCAGTGTTTCACTTCTTACCAGGGTACATGGCATTAGTTAATCATGCTGCTCATGTTTGCATTTAGACATCAGTCCGTATTAAAGCGCTGCTGCCTGATCGATCAATTGTCTTAATCCTGGAGCTTGAGCAGATCATGAGAGGGGAGGAGAGCAAGAGTGCTGAGAGACTGACACAGCATTCAGGCTTCAGAAACTGAGCATTACAATGATAATAAAATGTATATATTTTGCTGTATTTTTCCAATATCATCCTAAAGTGCTCAGTACATTGTTATCTTTGTACTCATTAGAAATGACAGTAAGCCTTGAAACATCAAATTACATTTTTATCAGAGCTGTCAGCATTAACGAGTTAATCACGATTAATTTAGGACTCAAACTAATGAATTCATATTATAAGCTCACTGTGGATAAGCCTCTGCAGAGTCTCGCTGTAGTCACAGTGATGGAAAAGAACGACACTGCTGCGTCTTTGAGTTTTTTAAGTGAAATGAGACATTCAGAGTCAGAAGTAATGTCCAACATATGACATTAAACATTTCACTTTTGTAATGTTCCTTTTTGCTGTTTTTATATAGTTTTGATCTGTAAAAAGTTCCTTTTTTCTATGATTCAGTTATTTCTGTAACCTTTGATCTACCAGAAGGTCCTTACTTTATTTCAAAATAAAAGCAGGGTTCAATCTATCAATTAATCACATTTAAAAAATGTCATCGTTAGACAGCCCTAATTTTTATTGTCCCTTGTGTCCATTTGACACTGCCAGGGCTGTGTTAGTCTAAAACTTTTAATCCTGCTGCAGCAGATTTATGATTGGAATAAACACTTTTTAATAACAGTCAGATTTAATCATGCACTAATAATGGAGGAGAATTAGGCACATTTTTCTGCCAGTTGTCCCTTCCTCATTTTGCAGCTGCAGCTGGATTATATGTTCAACCTCTTTTTGTATATATAATGTTTATAAAGAAGAATAGCATAAAGTATTGTTTATAGTAACATAGTTTGTTTAAGGTAGCATTTTCTATTCTGCTTCCATAGACTTGTTGCATCAGGTCATTTACTGCAAACAGAGGCCCTTTCATATAAACACACAACAAGATGAGACAACTTCTTCATTGAACCAGTTCATAACTGGTGCCATGTGATCCAGTTAATGAACCCAGACAAGAAATGAAATCCTGGGTTTATCGTTACAGGTGGATGGGTTTGTTTAGTCTGGGTCGGGTGGTGTTTCTTCCACTTTGTGACAATTAAAATAATGAAAGTCTATGTTGGTTAAAAGCCTTCAATAAAATATAATCTTACATTAGCCAACACTTACATTCCCAAAGTTTCTCTGACTCTATCTTGAGAATGTTACTGCCATCGTCTATTCATTCACTATCTCATCTAAATTAAATGTTACCTTTCTCTCTTTGTCTCTTCATTGCACATTTCAAGTTGGACTGATTTGACAGATTTTCATTTCTGTTTTTGCACAGGAACATGTTTTTTTGTTTAAGTTCTTACACAGTAGAAGGAAAAGGATAAACTTACTTGTACCGAGGAAATTTGCTCTACTGCATTTCCAAAAGCTATACATTGAGGATTCAATTCACAGACATAAAACATCACATACATCAATTAAAAAAGTAATTTGAAAAAGATACACAAAGACATTCAGTAATACAAAATAGTGATTAAAAAGTGTCGTTGGCATTTACTCCTTATAGAATATGTGATTAAAATCTGTACTTTGGGTGTGATAGTTATGTGGGTTCTTTGTTGGGGTTAATCATTTTAAAGGGGACATATTATAAAATGTAAAGAGACACACACACACCAAAACGGAGCGTTCTGAGAGAGCTGGTTTATACAGGGTCACAAACCTCCTCTGGTGCTTGATTCATGTTATATTTTGACCAAAGCACAGCACAGATGTTTCATTTAGACCACAGGGGACTGTTTAAAAAGGTGGAGAAGGGAGATAATATGTCCTCTTTAAGATTGCGAAAGTGCAATGCTTTGCAAGCAACAGCAGATATATAAAAAAAATATATAGCTTAAGTCTTAATGCTTTATTCTTTTCTTTCTTTCTTTCCCATCATGATTATTAAGGCTGCTCTGTCTTTTAGCATCAACCTCTGTGACTCCTCACACATAGAGCTGTAACATGTCCCGGCTGCCACAACCCATCCTCATAAAACCCCCACAGGTACTCCCAACAAGCTACTTAGTGGGCCCAACCATCGAGCTGAAATAATGTGATGTGGAGTACTGCACGCCTGAGGGTTCATGCCATGCTACCTCAGGCCCGGGGTAGAATGGGCTGCTGTGGGCCAAGTAAGCCGTACACACACAGTAAGGAAACCACCAGCTGACGGTGCCTGTGGCTCTCACTCGCAGACAAATAGCCCGCTGATGTTGTGTGCGAGGCATCAGCAGTCCGCCCCGTGCTGTTCCATCCAAGATTCATGTGGTGCTACAGAGAGAAAGGGCAGCCAAAGAGCACCTCCCAAAAGGTTTTGTTTTTTTTTCCCTCCCCATATAATGCAGTGCAACACCTCTGTGATGCACAAGGCCTCTGTAGACTCCTCACACACATGGCCTGTTTCCCCCCAGTGCAACCACAGGCTCTTTGAATTTTTAAACATGTTTTAGCATCAAATAATAAAAATTAACCAGGTGCTTTATCCTTGACATGCAGCATGAGAGAGTCAGCTAGGGAAGCTAGGTCATCTGGGGTTAGTTAGTACTATTTATATGCTTCATAGAGGCATATAAGAGACTGGGAAGTGAAGTGAAGAGACTGACAGGATGGAATGAGCGGCAAGACTTGTGTAAATCAGTGTACTTCTTGTGATGAAAGATACAACAGAAAACTCAAAGTACTTGGTCTTCTCAATTCTCTGATTTTTTTTGAAATTTTCAAAATCCAAAACAAAAAACACCAACCAGAATTGACATTTTTAGACGCTTCAAATCCATTAATACCCCTTTACCTTTTCTGAAGATTATTTCCTTTTTAATTTGTGTTGAAAAATGATGCCAATGCGGAAGTGCACAATCCTGCAGTTGGTCAAGGGTCCGCTTGAGGCTGGTAGTGTCATACACACCCCATTTAAAAAAGCCTGTTTTTACAGTAGAAATTAACATGTTTACAGCCTGGTACAAAAACCAAATTTGTCTGATGAGTTATTGTCCTCATGGGCACAGACTTTACGGGGGGGGGACACATAGACTTTTTCAATGTTGGGTGTCATCCATAGTTAGGCGCGTAGCTGACCAGATTGACAGGTGGAAACGATGCCATGTGTTTGTCTAGACGCTTACAACTGTCAGCTCCAGCTCTAAGCCTGTTGTTAGGTCTGTGGCATGGACAAAAAAAGAATAATGAAAGCAGCCACTGCTCCTCACACCTACATTTGTCTTCCACAATTCCAAGAATCTGCCACCTTGGCTTGTTTTTGTTTCCTTTTTAGATAAGGAGCCAAAAAAACAGAAAATGATTGCCGATGGAGATTGAGAAGTCGGGAGAGTGCTGTATACAAGGTGGGGGGTGAACCGGCCTGTCAAAGACGTAAAGGATGAGGCAGGGAGGAAAAAGACTGAGTTAGGGGGCAGAGAGAGAGATGGAATGGGATAAAATAGAGGCACATGTGGGGGCAGATGAGGAATGAGGATGGCAGAGCAGCAGAGGAAGACAGTGATGTAGTGGTAGAAGAGAGGAGAAATAATGGATGAGGACAATAGAAGTGCATTAGAGCAGGAGGTGGCATGTGTGGAGGGGAGCTAAGCATGAAAACAGTAGACAACTGTATATACATCTACTCATTTCATGTTTGGCCAATAAGCTGACATGATCCAGTTTAACCTCCTCTTTCATGCACAGCTCAACCTTAAAGTAGAAGAGCAGACGTTCTATATGGATTATTACAATTGTCCATTAGTGTGTGGCTTTGTGAACTCAGCAGAGCTCTAACAATGTGGTTTTTAGAAAAACGAAAACCCAGTCAGCCAAGCAGCACCCACAGAACATTTCCCTTCACTCAGACAACTCATCCAAATGATTTTGTGTTCCTGTCAGCCGGTAAGAGATATTTCCAATAAAGAGTTCAATCAGCTGAAGTTTAAACAATGCTTGAAAACAATATCTTCTCCCACTCGTCTCTCTCTCTCTCTCTCTCTGCAACAAACTTTTTTTTTCTTTTCTCCAGCCGTGGCCTTCTGCACATCCACATTTAAGTTCACAGCGTCACACACTCACACACACCTCCACACATGCTCTCATCTGGCCCCTGGAGAAGCCTGTCACTGTGAGTGGCCCTCTGCCATTGGAGGATAAACTACCTGTCATGCCGACGACTTTCTGTGTGAATTCATATCAGAGGCAAAACAAAGGAGGTGCTGAGGTCACGGGGCATCACTCTTAAATTATTCATCCTCTGCTTCCTCCTTCTGAATTCCTCTCAGCCTGTCGCCCACTTTGTTCTGCCAGCTCACAACAAGGGCATCTGTCAGCCTCAGTCCCAACCTCAATCTTTGGGGGATATACAGTAAATAAACATTTCTGTGAAAAAAAAACCTATTTAGTGAAGTTACTGATTGACTTGTTCAGTAGGGCATGTTTATAGTTAATCAGTGAATGTCTCCCACCTCTGAAGGTCACTGCATCATGAAATTTTAAAATGTGCTTTCCTTTCCACTCGTTGTTTTGTCGTCCTGCGTGCATAATTGATCAGCGTCCTGGCAGCTGTTTGTTCGCACACTCCTCACAGGATGTCTCCATGTTGTACGCATACAAGATTGAGAATTATTCAAGGCACTTTCATGAATTCCATCGCTCTTGTTTTTTTGTTTTTTTTCCACACATTTCAGAAGCAGTTGTCCGCCCTGGGTTTGACCGACGCTTGGGACCAGGACCTGGCTGATTTCTCTGGGGTGTCAGAGCAAAGCAAAGGGACGCTCCACCTGGGCGACGTCTTGCAGTGGGCTTCCCTGGAGCTGGCTGCTCGAGCTGGGGAAGGTGACGCAGAACTTGAGGAGGAACACATAGAGAAGCCCAAGCTGTTCTACGCCGATCACCCGTTCATCATCTTTGTCAGAGACAATGCTACAGGCGCCCTGCTGCTGATGGGAGCTCTGGACCATGCAGAGGGAGAGCCCCTCCATGATGAGCTCTAACACCCTCCTGACTTATATCTGGCTTTGTCTCTTAAGACACTCCCTTCTCAAAGACTACTCATGGTTTCTAAGTCGAGACATTGTCATTCACTGTGGCAGCCTATCACATCAGACTATGGCTGGCTGTCACACGCTGACATTGCATCGTCTCACGCTGACTGACACTGACACTGCCGAACCCGACACTTACACTTACACAGTCACAGTCACACACACACACACACACACACAAACACACATTCCAACACAGACATGACAAACTCAAATGAAAAATACTGTATCAGACATTACTGAAGTCGACAGACACAGAGAGAAAAAAAAAAAGTTACTTGGCGAGACTCCCTGCTATTTACACATGTGCACCCACACACACACACACACACACACACATTCAAGGTCTCAGTGATGAAGTCAACACAAAGCAGAACGACAAACAAGAGTGCAGTGCCAAACACTAACATGCAGACGAGCAGAAGTGGTTACACTGACACAACACTTACTAAAGCATCGACAGAGAACCTGAAGAAGAGAGGCTCCCTGTGACACCTGTGTGTGTGTGTGTGTGTGTGTGTGTGTGTGTGTGTGTGTGTGTGTGTGTGTGTGTGTGTGTGTGTGTGTGTGTGTGTGTGTGTGTGTGTGTGTGTGTGTGTGTGTGTGTGTGTGTGTGTGTGTGTGTGTGTGTGTGTGTGTGTGTGTGTGTGTGTGTGTGTGTGTGTGTGTGTGTGTGTGTGTGTGTGTGTGTGTGTGTGTGTGTGTGTGTGTGTGTGTGTGTGTGTGTGTGTGTGTGTGTGTGTGTGTGTGTGTTGACCTCACAGATCAAGGGTGCCCATGCAGCCGCTCTCAGACTCCCCGACCTGGCAGGGGCTGATTGCCGGGTCCCCTGGGCTACATCTCAGTAAGACTGATGGATCAGCCAAGTGCTTATTGATGAGCGAGCTCAATGCTAATGGCTGTAATGAGTCACACGGCCTGTCAACAACACGGAGAGGACGGGGAAACCTTTTAATCTCTTAATACCATCAGGGATCCATGTCACTGTGATGCCACTGGATACAAACATCTCTGACATAGCTCGACTTAAACGTCTCAACTTCATATTTAGAATGATTACAGCATTATTGATTTTCATTTGTATACTTTGTTTCTTAAAGCCACAGAGTGAGTGGTTGAGATATGTGAGTGAACTAAAGTAGATACTGCTCACATTAAGGTTGTATATTTGATAAGATGAACTTCAGTGTCAGTATATTTATCACTGTTTCTCCCAGTCTTAAACCAACTGAATGAATGTTATCAATATATTTGTATTTCCTGACTGCACTGACACAGGCAAAAGACAGGAGACTATTTTAGTTTTTTACCCTGAAGCAATTTGGCCGACATTGAGCCTCAAGGTTCTATAGAGGGATATTTAGAGACCTGAACTGGGATCATCAGTTATTACATTTTGAAGGACATGCTAGGCTCCTAGTAACAGTTCTGTCACACTTTCTGATCGTCTCCAACGAAGAATAACCATTCCACATATGTATGACACAAGTAAAGGAATTTAAAAGAGTCCCTCAGCATCATACCAAAAGTTGTGTGTCTTGTTATTTCTGCCTTTTATTTCTGTAATACAAAAAACTAAATAACAGGAGACACGGCAACAGACAACAGGATGTTGGTTGTTTTGTAGGTTTAATCACATTTGTTACAGATGGAATTTGCAACATCTAGGAGGAATGCTCACTAAGTCTTGTGACTGCTTTAAACAACATCAACAAACGTATACTCACACCTGTATGTTGTACATGACTTCTTCATACTCCATTCTTTAAGTAAAAAAAATCACTTTTTATTTTCATTACTATAGATTGTTTCATACTTTAATGAAATACTTAATAAATATTTTATGATCATAAAAGCCTGAGTGGTGATGGGTGACTTGGGTTGGGAACCGGAGGGTCGCCGGTTCAAGTCCCAATGCAGACCATAATATGGAAGTTGGTCTGGTAGCTGGAGAGGTGCCAGGTGCCTTACTGAATACTGCTGAACCTAAGCTGCTCTGGTGCGCTCCATGTGTAGCAGTTTGTAGCAGCCCCACTCTGACATCTCTTCACTAATGCTCGTCCACAGCTCCTGTTTGTGCATGTGTGTGAATCAGACCTATGTGTGAGAAGCATGTCTCTAAAATCAACTCTAAATCATTCACATACATCGTGTTTACACCCCAAAGTGTTCTAATGCGTGTTTGTGTGTGTGTGTTCATGTGTATCTATTACTCACACTCCTGCAGCAGTATCTCCACTTCACAACTTCTAAAATGTCTTCTCCATTTGGACTGCGGTGCTCCGCCATCATCATCTCCAGCCCTCCAATAGACATCTCCACAAACTTGTTTTTTTCCTCCTAGCATGCTTTACTGTGCATCTGCAGGGCCCTACACTCACGCCCTTTTATGGGCACGAGTGGGCGGTGCTATTTGGGAACAACAGGCACGCGCTTTCAACTTACAAACACAAAGAATTAAGAACACAGCTGCGAACAATTCAGTTATTTAAGAACATGTTAAATCCGAAGGAGAGTCTTTTTAGAAATCTTAAGAACAACCTCTTTTGAAAGTTCTTAAGAGGATATCGGTGAATGAGGCCCATTGTTGTAAAAACAAAAATAGCAGATGAGAGAGAAGTTACAAAGGGTGCTTTGGTGTTCTCATCTCCTCACAGAATTTTCTTCAAAGCAGAAATGTAAATGTGCTTCATCTGAACTCTTATGGTGCTAAGTTTCAAAAGATGCACAGCTGGTCTGCCTAATGCACAGAACATAACCAATCTGTTGCAGTAACACCTCAGCCGTGTTCCTAATTTAGCCCTTTTGCACAGGTCTGCTCAGCAACAGCCTCTGCGTGCATGTGTGTGTTCATGTACTGTTCACGTGTGCATTCATGTGTGAATAAAAGCGACTACAATGACCTCTCCGCAGTGGCCTTCTGTGCAGCAGAGACTTGTAAAGGGCACAATACCGCAGGTATACTTTGCACTGAATAAACCCAGGAGCTCAATTTAGACAAGCCGATGATGGATCCGAGGCCTTCTGCTGTGAGCACATCAATCCTGCTCATTTCAAAACCAGTTCCCTGCTGATTCACCTTCACATTTGATTCAGTTTAGAACACGCACAAACACATGCATACTCAGAGGCAGCCAGACATAATCTACTTAGAGTGGGAAAAAAAACATTCTCATTGTTGTGTAGAGCAGCTGTATGCACAGAATATACATCTGTGAGGCCATGCTTTATATGTAATCATTTGTACCAAATACAAAAAGGCTGAATAAATATGAGTGAACTTCTTCTTATTCTAACTTTCAGTATAGTTTTTAAAAGTTTTCCCATTGTTAAACGTGTGCTTGTTTGTTATTTAAATAATATTAAAGTAGCATAAAGCGGCAGCTGAAGTACATTTTGATTAAATAGAGTGTTAAAAATATCACATTTTGACTCCTTTCAATGAAGACCATGAAATCAAGATCCCTAAAGAATTGGGAGCTGATTTTTCTGAGCCTCAGTCTCGACTGAAGGACTTCAGAGCCAGAGGGAGGCCTTTAGTGCAATCAGACCTTTATTTTCTGGGATTTGTATGTTTATCAAAAAAGAAACATGAGAGTATTGGTTTAATTTCCTAAAAAATAGTTGACATTTTAAACATTCATACAGCAGATATATCAATTATATATCCTAACCTATTACATCGTTGAGTAATGACATCATGCATAGTGAAGTTCACTATTTGTAAAGTGTCTGCTAGACCCACGTCTTAATGGGCGCGGGAGGGGGCCGGGGGGGACCCTGCTGGTTGATTTTATTTGTATCATATTTCATTATCTCTACTGTAACATATTTCATTTTTACATCTTAAATTATTTCTATATTTCCTACTGTTGTATTGTGTTTAAGAGCAACGGTAACAACCGAATTTCCCCCTGGGATTAATAAAGTATTCTGATTCTGATGATTCTGATTTTGCTGGTTGTGCTGGTCGTGCCAGTATGTGTGGCTATAGGTCGTCATGGATTGGGACCACCTGAGCCTGGTGTTCCTAATCCGTAAGAGGAGGCCCAACTTCCTCATTATCAGGAAGACAAGGGGAAAAGAGAGGCTGCGCTCCAATGAAGCCATGCTACACTTTCTACACAACGCATCACTCATCATACCCATCATGCATACACTTCCACATCTCATAATGTTTGTTTAATTGACTTATTAACTTTGTTGAAAATAAATGTAACAGATTTTTGTGTATGTTTATTGAACTTTGGGGACGTAAGGGGACAAATGTTTTCTAAGGATAAGGAAGCCCTAAATGTCCCAGTTATTAATTTCCCAAACTAAAGTATGATACTCTAAAGGTTTTAGGATCATAATAATATTCAATGAATGAAAGGGAAAGGGAATTAAATCTGCCTAAGGATGCACGCTTACCTTGAAAGTTGTCCTGTCGTCATGATATATAGATCCCAAAATGAAACATCTGTTTTTCTTTTTATTGTGTTCTCTTTTTCTGACAGCCTCTCTATTTGTGTTGACTTTTTTCTCCTCAGCACACATTGTTTCCAGGAGCACTCTGACGCAGCAATATTTTGGACAGGTAATTGAGGTGAAGTGCATTATGACGGCTGTGTAACTTGACACTCACCAACGATAGAGCTTCTGCCGTCTGCTCATGAAGAAAATAAAAAGCTTTGACGGGGATTTAATCTTTAATCTCTGTTTTTTAAATAAAACATGATAAAAGAGGGACCGTGAACTCTGTGTCTCTCCTGCTGCCTTGTATGATGCATTCATCTCTTGCACAATCCGAGCTGTGGAAAAAAAAAGGGTGAGACAGCGAAAGAGCACTCAGAGCAGAGTCACACCAGTTACAGTACTTACCCTTTAGAGCACATCATAGAAGTGGCTCCGTTCAGCTAGGGGTCAACTTGCTGATAGGGATGCTACAAGGGCCCTACCATTTTCGTCTTGCTCTTAAAAGAAAGGTTAAAAGCAAGAGTCAAAAGAGATGCCTGGAAAAAAGCAACATTTCATACGTGTGTTGAACTATAGGAACAGCTAACTGACACGCTTAAAAGCTTCACAAACTAGCAAACTGTTTCAGAGCAGTTTGGGATTACAATTTAAGAGGGAAAGGGGAGACACAATTTCAACAACTATGCCAACAATATCTGAAAAATAAAATAGACCTCACATCAAATAAAGAAAACGTACTATCAAGGTCTCCATGAAGGCCTGCCTGGAGGTAAATTAACTGCTATACTGATAAGCACACCTTCATATCATCTGCATAACAGTGACACTTTATTGAGTGTTTCCTGAACAAATGAATTGAATTATGTCAATATGATGAGTAGAACTTGTACTTTGGTAAATGGTAAATGGACTTGAGCTTGAATTGCTCTTTTCTAGTCTTCTTACTTCTCAAAGCTATTTATTCACACCTACCCGTTCATAACTATTCACACACTGATGGTAGGGGGCGGGGCTATTATGTAAAGCATCCATCTGTGTTAACTAATCCCATTCATAGACAATCATACGCCACCGACCAAGACGTGGGAGCAACTTGGGGTTAAG